CCTCTTTCAAGATTTTTTCCCTTTTTTTAAAATTTAAAGTAATTTTTCCTCCTGTGCTGCCCGAGGATCAACTGCAGAGGCTTGCGAATGGTAAGCAAGTGCTCTACCACCGAGCTACACCTCAGTCCTGCAAGTTGAATATTATACACTAGGTATAGGTATATTTTTTTCCTTTTAAAACTGAAATTGATCAAATTATACTGTTTTATCGTGTGCATGTATTAATAAAAATTAAAAAAAACAAAACTGCCTGATATCCTCTGACCTTCCCGGATCCGTGGCTGGTATCTGACATTAGTTTGAGGAAATTCTCAGTCATTATTGCTTCAAATGTTTCCTTTGTTCCTTTGTTTGCCTTTTCTCTTCTGGTATCCCATTATGTGTATGTTACACTCTTTGTAGTGTTTCCACAGTGCTTGGGTATCTTGTTCTGCTTTTAGCTTTTTATTTGCTTTGCTTTTCGGTTTTGGGAGTTTCTATTGAAACATTCTCCAACTCAGAGATTCTTTCCTTCATTATAGCCAGAGTACTCATGAGCGCATCAAAAGTATTCTGCATTTCTGCTAGAACATTTTGATCATTAACTTTTAGTTTTTATTCTTTCTTAGAATTTCCATCTCCCTGCTTACATTACCTGTTTCTGTGGGCTGTCTACTTTATTCGAGCCTTTTGCTCATTAGTCAATTATTTTAAATTCCCAGTCTGATAATTCCAACCACACTGCCTTATCTGACTCAGGTTTTGATGTTTGCTTCATGATCCTGGTACTGAAGATGGAACCCATTGCCTCACATATGCTAGGCAGATACTCTACCACTGAGTTATATCCTCTTCCCTTTTTTAAAAAAATTTGAACCGGGCATGGTGGTGCATGCCCACAATCCCAGCAGCTTTGGAGGCTGAGGCAGGAGGAATGCAAGTTTGAAGTCAGCCTCAGCAACTCACCATGGCCCTAAGAAACTTAGTGAGACTCTGTCTCAAATTTAAAAATAAAATGGGCTGAGGATGTGGCTCGATGGTTAAGAACCCCTGGGCTCAATCCCCAATGGCAGACCCCTAGATAGGGTCTCACTAAGTTGCCCAAGCTGACCTCGAGTTTTCTGTCTTCCTGCCTTGGCTTTCCAAGTGGCTGGGATTATAGGTATGTGCCACCAGGCTGAGCAGTAATTTTCTTTTCTTGATAACTGAACTAATGTACCAGATAAAAGAAACCTTGGTGAATGTACATTTAGTACCATGGTGGTTAAGAAGCAGGGAAAGAGGAAGTGTCCCTAGTTCTGTGATTAGGGCCCAATCTTTTGGAGAGCCTGTGCCTCCGACTATGATTTTCACAAGAGCCATGTAGCCTTCCCCTGCCCCTCTCAGGTGGAATGGAGAGTTGAGTATTTCCCTTCCCTTAGTTGGTTAGGCTCTTAAAAAAAAATTCAATAATGTAGGCACTGGGGAAGTAGTTTTTCCTGAGTGCAGGCTATGTTAAGATGAATAGAATGCTCTAGGTAGCGGCTTTTAAAAATTGTTGCTTTTCTCCTCCCTCTCTGGAAGCATGAGGGGATTTTTCTGTTTTATATATATGTATGTGTGTGTGTGTGTGTGTGTGTGTGTGTGTGTGTCTATCTTTGGTACTGGGGATTGAACTCAGGGGCACTCAACCGCTGAGCCACATCCTCAGCCCTATTTTGTATTTTATTAAGAAACAGGGTCTCACTGAGTTGTTTAGTGCCTCACCAAGTTGCTGAGGCTGGCTTTGAACTCATGATCCTCCTGTCTCAGCCTACTGAGCCGCTGGGATTACAGGCATGTGTCACATGCCTGGCCCTTTTTATTTTTTGAGATAGGGTATTGCTGAGTTGCTTAGGACCTTGCTAAATTGCTGAGGCTGGCTTTGAACTCACGATCCTCCTGCCTCAGCCTCCCAAGCTGCTGGGATTACAGGCGTGTGTCATTGCACTCGGCTTTTCTGTAATATTTACTGTGAGAACCTGGTTGAGCTCCTAGAGGTACAACTCACAAAAGTGTGGGAGACGGGGGCTGGGAATGTGGCTCAGGTGGTAGCGCACTCGTCTGGCATGTGTGCGGCCCGGGTTCGATCCTCAGCACCACATACCAACAAAGATGTTGTGTCCGCCGAGAACTAAGAAATAAATATTAAAAATTCAAAAAAAAAAAGTGTGGGAGACAAGGCTGGGGTGTGGCTCACTGGGAGAGGCCCTGGGTTCCATTCCCAGTACTGCCAAAAAAAAAAGAAGCATGAGAGTCTTCAATAACTGGGCCCCCACCCCTGCACCCCGGGGTTTTCCTAGACTTGTCTACACAGAGCCTCCAGTAGTTGGTTACTTAGAGTTTGGGTTTTCCTACTCTGGTTCCCCAGAGTTCTCTGCTCTGATAAGTTGGTGATTCTGTCCACCTGTCTTTCCATTTGGGGGACAGTGTTTTTGCCTGGTGACCTCACTTCTCAGATCCAGCAGAGTTGTGGATTTTTCAGTTGGTTCAGCTGTTTACTTGTTAGGATGAGAGCAGTGGTTTCCAAATTGCTTATGTGCCAGAGTGGAAGCGGTGGTGCTCTAGGTAGCGGCTTTTAAAAATTATCAACTGGATGCTGTGACGGTGCACTGTGGACATTCTGCTTTCTGTCTTGAGTGTTCTTTGTTCTCACCAGCGGCCAACCAGCAGGTTCTCTTGAGCTGCAGAGGCTGGTCTTAGGGTATCACCTCTACTCCTAGCCTCAACTGCTTGGGACTTCGGTGGGACCCAGGAGCTGTTCCTCAGGCTGCTCTAAGTTAACGGAACCCTGCTGTACAGCCCGTCTCCCCCGTAGCAGGTGGCAGCAGAGCCGCCTCCTGAGCTATTTTGGTCTCCTGGCTGTTGCTGGAATCTCTGTCCTGGGCCTGTGCAGGTCAGGGGTCAGCCAGGGATTCGAAGGAGTTTATATGAGATTTGGAAGCTTCTCCTCTGTGGCTGCCTCCTCCCCAGGATTCCCCCACCACCGGTATCCATCTTCTGTGGTGGTCCTAACTCTGACACCTCAAGCCAGACAGGCCCCAGCTTTGGTCTCTGTTGCTACCAGCTTCAGGCTACAGACTAGGAAGTGTCCCTAGGAAAAATCTGAAACATAGCCAAACCAGCGTGGCTTCCTTCTTTCAAGGTTTGGATCTCTTCCAGTTTCTGCCTGTCGTGGTTATTTTCTATTGTCTAAAAATTTTTCTTTTTAGTGTATGGCCTAGAATTTACTATTGTTATCTAGAAGAAGGTGGTTCTAGACAGACATGATTTCCTCAAGTGGAATTATTTGATTTTTACAAGAAAAGGCAGTCCCAACTTTTGCTTGATTGTCAAAGCTCATGTCACTTTGTGTGCCCCTTACTGGTAATGAAGAATACAGTCGATGCTTCAAACTATGGCAGGTGTGGTGACCCCTGCTCTCTATAACAACCTGTATCTTGATGGCAGGAGGGAAACCACTCATGGAGGGCCACCCCAGGGCTWTGCACTCTACTGATTCTTCTCAGTATTTCAAATTTTATTTCTGGTCTGATTAGATCAGAAAACTGCATCCTCAGGTAGCACGGCCTTGCCCCTTTAGATTTACTTCTGCTGAATTTCCCTTGAGCATCATGCTCTAGTCTCCAAGCCACAAGCCACAGAAGGACCATCCTAATCACACAGTTATATTTTTTGTTAAGAATGTAACTGGGCAGCTGGGTGCAGGGCGCATGCCTGTAATCTCAGAGGCTCAGGATGCTGAGGCAGGAGGATTGCGAGTTCAAAGCCAGCCTCAGCAAGTTAGCAAGGCCCTGCCTCTAAATAAAATATGAAAAGGGCGTGGGATGTGGCTCAGTGGTTAAGCACCTCTGGGATCAATTCTCAGTACCAAAAAAAAAAAAATGTGAATAGGGCAGTCTGTGGTGCAGGGTCCCCTAGAGGAGGAGCCATTGAAGATTTCTCAGACCCAAAGGCCAGAAAAAGCTCAGCTTTTCCTAAGAAATTAATGATTTCTTTGGGAAATTTTAATTTCCAAAGACTGATAATGTTTGGGCACTAAGATGCTCAGAGGCAGATATTTATTTATATATATGCGTATGTGTGTATATATAAATGTGTGTGTATACATATGTATACATACGCATATTTATGTGTGTGTGTGTGTGTGTGTGTGTGTGTGTGTGTGTATATATATATATATTTATTTATTTATTGGGGGGTAGGGTGGTACTGGAGATTTAACCCAGGAACATTTTTACCACTGATCCACGTCCCCAGCCCTTTTAATTAATCAATTTATTTATTAATTAATTTATTTAATTTTGAGACAGGGTCTTGCTAAGTTGCTTAGGGCCTGGCTGAGTTGCTGAGGCTGGCTTTGCACTTGCAAACCTCCAGCCTCAGCCTCCTGAGCTGCAGGGTTTATAGGTGTGTGCCACCGCGCTCTGCCAGACTGTATTTTTGAACTTCTCTCCTACTTACCTTTATTTATTCAATTAATAAATAATTGTTTATTTCTGCCAGATACCTTAACTCCCTTTTACAGAGATAGAGGGGAGGGACACCATCAGAATCATTAATCACAGCCGAGGATGTGGCTGTCCCTCCTAACATTCTTGTCATCCCTCTTTTGGGACTGAGTTAGCAGCCCCAGATTCTAATCCATGTAAGAATTTCATCTTCAACCCAAAGCGAATTTACTCATCTTCCCTTCCATCTAATTCACCAATTGGTATTCAAGAAATCAGTTTTCAAAGGACTCGATTTGCCCTGAAAGGGGAGAGATGAAAGAAGTTTGAGGAATGTTCTCCTGGCTCCGAGGAGATGTTCCAGATCATTGTAAATGACAGGATTGTCACTGGAAGGGGGAAGAGATTCTCGTGGCAGGTTCTCTGACAGGGAGAACAGTCATCTGGGTGTCAAGTGCTGGTATGTTTCATTTGTAATCAATCCCAGGTCTCCTCTTGACAGCACAGAGCCAAGGTGAGTCTGATGAGGTGCATGTGGTCATCCTTCCCTAGGTGGAGCCAGAGCTTGTGACGGAAGTGTCGGGCCTGAGCAGCAGCAAGATCCTCCTCTTATTTTYGATCTCCAAGAAGACGCTGCAGAAGGGGAGCCTCTACAGAGAGGGGGTGCCGAGTACCAGGCCGTGCTGCCCAAGGTCAGGAAGGTTCTCGCAGACGTCCTTCAAGACATTGCCAATGACAACATCTCCAGAGCCGATTACACACAGGATCCTTCAGTAATTCCCTGTTGTAATCCCTACCAAATCGCCTGCCGCTGCCAAACCACGTAACTGGCCAGTTTTTCCACTGTAGGGATGGCTGGAAATCAGACGGGCAGGTTCGCTTTCAAACTTCTTTACCCTCTTTACCCACCTAGGCTATAAAAACAAGTCTCGGAATTTTGTCTGGGGACCACCACTTGGCAACTCCTCTTTGCATACTGTCCCTTTTCCGTGCTGTKCTGAGGGATGCCCCTGAGCRGAGCTGGCTCTGGGRTGGTGAGTGTAGTGCAATGGAACGCTCACCAGCTTCAGAGTCAGGCACAGGTTCCAGCCCCAGGTTTTGACCTTGGGCAGTTAACCTCACTTGCAAGGTGATTTCGAAGGTTAAGTAAAGCAGTTTATGAGAATGCATCGTGTGTCACCTGACACAGAGCAGATACCTGGTGTGCTTTAGTTTCCTCTTCACATTAGCATAGACTGGTACCAACCAGTATGTGCAGACTGTCCCCATCTTTATTTTTCTTTTATATTGCTGGGGATTGAACCCAGGGCCTCATGCATGCCGGGCAAGTGCTCTACCACTGAGCTACACCCCAGCTCTTCCGTCTGTAATAGGCATACAAATCCCCTGGGATCCTGTAAAAATGCAGACTCTGGCTCCGAAGGTGTGGAGGCGCCCGAGCGCTCACTGGCCAGCTCCCAGGGGATGCCGGGAGCAGCGGGGGAGCTGGACCAGGTGAAGTCAGGTCCCTTTCCAGGTCTCGGAGCACAGGAGTCCAGGGCTAAGCCCGTGACCCCTTCCTCCTTTCCCCCTTTTAAAGGTCAAGTGAATGTAGTGTGAAGACTTCTTCCTGAACCCTGAAGCTCCCAAGAAATAAAGTTTAAGAAAACTCAAAAGTGCATTGCCATGATTTTATTATTAGTGTCCTAAATGGGACTTGAAGGTAATAAATGATTTATTCCAATCACTGCAAAAATACTTTGCCTGGCTAAAATAGTCTCTCTCTACATGTATGTAATATACAAGAAATACAATTCAAAGAGATTTTCCTATACGTACATTTTTTTACACAGCATACATTTAAAAAGGATGTCCTTTTTCATATAAAATCCCGGTTATAGACCAATATGGTTAGCTAACATTTACACTGTGGTTTGAAGGTATTTTAAACAGCGTGGTATGGATACAGTGTCCCCCATGCCCACAGGCAGCCAGGGCCGAGGGGCTTGGTGAGGCGTTAGCCGCGTCCTGTGGCTTAGGCAGGGCAGCACCCAGGACTGTCCCCTTTCTGCTCACACAATCGCACTCCATTCTTCCACCTTCCTTGTTCTCTCCAAAACCACCTGACAGGGGGTGTCCTGATTTCTGAGGTGCACAACTCGTCAGGACTGCTTCGTTTTGCCCTTCTGACTTCCACGGCACAAGTTTATCTACCAAAATCAAAACAGAACGGCCTTACTCTTCCCAGGAAGAGGCTGGCGGGCAGGCAGGCTGGGTCACCCGCAKGGCAGGCTGTGCCWTGGGGACTGGCAGAGGAGGCTGGGCACTGAGGAGCTTTTCCACCTGAACCCCAGTTTGACCCTCACTCGGACACCACGTCCTATGTAGGTGCAGGCGAGGACGGCACAGATTCTGAAATATTACCTATGTATAAGATGAGTGCGCACGTGCATGTGTGGACTTTAACAAAAGGCTCATCTTGTAAACACAGACTGCTAACTCATTATAGAAGTCAGTAGACACCCTCGGTCCCAATTGCCTTTCTTACTCTTGCTCACAGGGTTAAGACTGTCTCCCAAAATGCACAGAATTGAACATTGGCCTGTTACCGAAACAGARGTTGCGCACCCTCCCAAAGACAGCCTCTCCCTAAGCTGCAAGAAATGCTCCACTTGCTTTTCTTCCACTGTTCTCAGAGCAAAGTAAACCCAAGGAGAAGAATGACAATACGTAGGGCCGMGTCAGTATATTTTACAAAGTGGCGACCCACGTTCTTAAGGCTGAGGCCCAGGGAGTCCTGAGGCAGACTCCCCAGGCAAGCCTGGGATCCTCTCTGAAAGAGACGTGGTTTTCACCAACCGGAGACTCCAGGACCCTTTTGGGATCCCAGAAGCTATTAGGAATATGAGTAAAGAGACAGATATTTGCCACAGGCCTGGCAAGGATTAAGGCAGAGAGGGGGCAGTTTCTAGAATCTCTAGTTGGACATCGCTGCCCCTGTGGGCATAACTGAGGTGTGCCATGTCGAGCAGCTGCCAGGAGTGGTCGCCCCTGGTCCTCCTGCCGCCAGACAGTGTCTCATGCCTGGCCTGCACACAGGGCTGCCCGATACTCCCTGGGACCTGACTCAGTGACCAGCACTCTCACAGGCAGGAAGCATCTCTCTCGCATTAAAGATTCTTGATGCAGTTTAAGCCAACTGTCACTCACTTGGTTCTTAAGAAGGTGGCAGGACAATCAGCTCGTTCCTAGCTTCCTGGCAGCATACATGTGAACGGGCTGGTGATAAGTTTGAGTACCAGTTTTTAAAGTAAGCATCTCCGATTCATGTATATATATTTTTAACCCCAAACAAATGCACACAGGGTGCTGTTATTTCACACAACAGGTTTTCTGTACTAACAGACTATCTCATAACTGCCAATAGCCTAATTACCCTAATTCTCTTAATATAAGAGACTGCAAGGTTGGCTCTGATTACAATTAAGAATCTAATTAGTAATCTAGTACTCACAGATTTTTACCAAAATTACTGAAATGGAACCCAGTGAGTGTTTGGATGCTCTAAACCTTGATGGAGTAGGGTGGTCACATCTGTCCCCACTGTGTCTAACCTGGAGTGCTCTGGTTCCCAGAAGGCACAACTTCAGATAAATAACCACCAATTCCTGAGACAGAGAAACTCCCTTTAGAGCTGGCTGGCGTCATGAGAACTCAAAGGCAAAACAACGGGCTCAGGAAGCAACTCTTAGGCAGGAAGCCAACAGATGTTTTCAAAATTTATAATCAGGATTTTTAAGCACACTCCTGTCCGCCACTAACACATAAATATTGCTGGTGGGCAACATATTTGGCAACCTGCCTATTAAAAGCCAGAAATGCAAATTGCAAACTGCAATTCACAGAGCCAATGTGGGAAGTCACAAATGTCCCCCAGTTGTGCACAAATGGCCCATATGAGCTGTCTCTTTTTGACCAAATAGGCTTACTAAGTTGTCCCATGGATCTTTAGGAGAAAAAGACTGACATTCAGGTCTGGCTTCTAGCAAATGGATCTCACCTGACACAAAACCATGATCAGGACAGGGCACTCCCTACCCAGGCCCATGGGYGCTGCTCACAGCCCACATGGCCACTCCTCGCATCCTCTCTGGTTCCAAGTTGGCCCAACACTGCTGCCATCTGAAAGGATTTCGGGTGGGACTCTCTTGGAGGTTTTCTAACAGAGGCTTATGAGAAGGGTCTGTGTTGCTCCAAACAGAAGGTTGAAGCAGCAGCAGCCAAGGAGAACCCCTTGGAACCCCTCTTCCCCCCAGGGGGAGAGAATCTTTTCTCCAGACCCAGATGTTGGAAGAAATCAAGCCCCATGCTCAGCCAGCCCTGGGGGCCTCGCTGGCAGAACAGCTGGAGCAAGGTTCTGGGAAGCCCTGCAGGTGCTCAGGTGAGCTCCCACACCCCAGCTTCAGCTCAGCTCCCTGTGGCCAGCTCAGAGTCCTAAACATAGCCCGGCCCTGTTAACTCACTACCTTGAGAGTAGAAAGGCAGGGTCTGCAGAAGCCTCCCTGGCAGCCTAGGGAGAGGAGAGTCTCCCACAGACAGAGGTTCCTACCTTGTGAGCTGCGACGTCTAGAAGCAGAGGAACGGGGCGGAGGCCTCTGAAGGTACTGAGCACCCAACACCCTGGGTTAGTACTTGGTTATTCTAAYGCTGTCAGGTTGAGCATGACACCTAACCGCTGGTCTGCGGGGTCCGAGGCGCACACAGTGACATTCTGCGGCCCTCAGGATTTCAGAGAGGAGGATTAGTTGTTAGAGACTAGAAAGCAGGGAAAGGGACTCTGTCTCCTCTCAGAGACAGAGCTTCCTTCTGGCACAGACAGAGCGGCTCTTTCAAGGGTTCCTAGTGCTCACAGGGGGAAATTCACGCTCATCATCAAGACACACTGGTCCCGTGGCAAACTCATGTTCCGGAATGACCTCTCCGCGGAGCGCCCCGCCGTCCTCAGAGTATCCTGGAAACCAAGAGTGGGAAAGGGAACAAGCCACAGGGTCAGTTCTTACCGCATGCCCCAGGGCAGGACCTCAGGGGAAAGGACCACCAGGAAACCCGGGAGGTGTCTTTGCCTCCCATGGCAGGGATGTCTCAAGATGGATGTCAGTCCCCACGGTTAGTCTCTGAGCCTCTGAGAGGCGGGCCACTGTCACCTACCCGTCCACCTCCAATGCCTGAAACTTTCTGTCTCTGGAGTTCTCCAAGAGACAAAGGGTTAATGCTGCTTGTTAAGCAAACAAGCCCCCTGGGAAAGCCTGTGAAGGCCAGAGACCCAGGCGAAGGCTGTTACAGGCCGCACCTGCCAGGGACCACGCAACTCAGGGACAGCGCTCCACCCCCAGAGGGCCCAGAGGAGAAGGTGGCCCCGATGGTGAGATGGTGACGCTCCCGGTGGGCCCCACCTCCACTCACCTGGCACAGTGGAGGTGGCAGATGAGCTGGGCCTGGCTACAGTCGCTGCGTACGTCTGAGGTAAGGAAGGTCTGAGGTCGTTTTCTTTGTTCTCTTCTGTGGATCCGGAGCCCAGCAAGCTACTCGCAGCAATGAAGGGGGAGGGGGGATAAAAGAAATCACCTCGAATCTAGGACACCTCCAAAGGAAGAGCAGAGGCCTGCGCCTGGCTACTGGGTGTGAATTACAGAGCCGCCGGGACGCTGCTGGGTCAGTGTGAACTCAAGGGGCCCGAAAGTGCCAGGGGTCAGTTATGTTCCAAGGAACCCCCTTCCCTTATATTTAATAAGCAAAGACTGGCCCTCTGTCCTTCCTGGCACCCTCAGGCAGGGACACGGAGACAAGCTAACATAGACGGGGCAGAGGGGAAGGTGTGGTGGCAGCTCAAGGTGTCTTGTCCACAGCAAGACGAGGCCAGCTTGCACTTGTCACAGAAGTTCAGAGGACTTTTCAAGTCAGGGCTGTGACATTTCTGAATGCCCACTGGGGCTGAGCCAAGCAGGGAGACCTTCTAGTTGGAGTGTCGTCCATCCCGGCACTGTCCAGGGGGGACAGCACACAGAAGACACCTGACAGAGAGCTTGACCCAGGGCAGGTGCCTGCCCGGGGTTGCCCCGAAACTGCTGGTGAGCCGGGAAGGAAAGCAGGGGCCCTGAAGCTGGTCACTGTTCCCAGTGAAGTGACGGCTCTCCAGCAGCAGCTCGGGGACACCGTCTGAAAGCTGCRGTCTTTACCTGTGGGTCTTGATTAGGACACACTCTCCTCCATCCTGYGGGTCCAGGTTGTAGATGTAAAGGTGTCCACTGGAGGAGGCGACTAGCAGCCTTGGCAGTTTCTGGATCCTAAGAGCCAAGTGACACATACACTCTGAGAGCAGGAACAGGGAGGGTAACGGTCAGCCTCCCCGGACGACTAGCGTCAATGCTCTTCCCCTGCCACCAACAATCCTCGGCCCTGCTGGTCCAGGTCCAGGCTCGGGCCATTCCTTGGCCTTCTGCTCACTGCCCACTGGCAGGATTATTTCTGGTCTTTGAACATAATTGTGTGGATGAGGCAAACCGAGGCGTGTCGACGCTATTATCCTGTGGAAAGCTACTGCCAGCGAGCACCCTGGCATACCCAAACGGCCATGTCCCTCGCTCACATGGATGTCA